TTCATACTGTTAAATCAATCTTAATATCTTCATATTGTTCACCAACTCAATTAACACTAACCATTTTCTCGATCTCCCAAATATTCCTTCTCAATCTCTAACCTTAAACTAGAATCAATAACCCATGTAATCAATTCCTAACAGCTTTCACACCCTTTTCCTTCTATTTGTTACACATAATCTTGAATTCTCTTGATTGAATTCATAATGCATATATTTCTGATTCATAAGATACAGATAGACTTCAAAACAATAATCTTCTTTAATTCAATACTATAAGATTTCTTGTAATATAATCATAGCCAAAAACAACACTCTCAATGATTAAACTAATGTTTATCAATTTAATCACATTAGTCATCATAGTCTTAACCATTATTCATAATCCCCACAAAAATAATGATTTGCTAATTACTAGGATAACCATAGCGATTTATCCCAAATATTACATAAAGTTTCACATCCATGTCAAAGTCAATCTGCATAGGTATCATTATTGATTCCTCAAATTACATCTTCCTAATTATCACCACTAATGGTAAAGTTTAAATCTTCAATACTCGTACCAATAATTCTCGAGTATAACTAGTCGAACCTATCTTAAAAATAGGGAAAAAAAACTTCATATTTCCCCAACACAACTCCAATAACATTAAAAGATCCCATAGAACAATAGAAGTTCATATCAAACTTTGGATATCATTTTTATTTCAATAATGTTCTACTATATCTGAACTTGAACTTTTAAACTCTATAATCTTTAATCCTATAATATCGAGGGTCAAAGATAACTACTATAACTTAGTCAGGCTTCCTCGATTTTTATTTTACAGGTCTATAAGTTTGTTTCCAAAACTTGACCTCAATTTTTCAATCAAAATTTGTAAATACCAATCAATTATTAACTCCACACTCAACCAAGAGATTCTTGATTGTTAATACTGTAGAGAGTCTAAGTGTAGTCAACTAAGCCCACAACGAAATAAGATTACCTAAGTATAATGTCCTCAATGAGTATCCTATGTATGACCCCTCTAAACCATCAATACTTCCAAAGTAAATTTAATCAACTCTCTATAATATTTTCAAACCAATATTGGTAGTCACAAGTACATGGTTATAAAAACAAACTCCTATCCATTCATGTCCTATAACCACAATTCCAATCATTATTCCAAAAATAGGCTCCCATTCAAGGTTACTTCACAATATTCATTCCAATTTCTATAACGTTTGAGTAACACACATAACTTTATAACCTTATTACTCAAAGCTTAGTCCATCTTAAAAAAAAAAACATCTAAGTTGAACGTACCTCCACACGTCTAAATTGGGTTATCAAATCTCCTTGACTTCCATAAATATTAGCAACACTAATAATAGAATATAATACTTAGAGTCAACAAGACACTAAATCATAGTTACATTTTATGTTGTTATCCATCAAAACACTTCAATCAACATGGGGGTGTCTCTAAATCAAAGTCTAATTAGTGTGGAAGCTCGCTTAAGGATAAGTCCTTCAGGGTCTAAGAAGAAAAACATGACACTTTGCTAACCAAGGAATGGCATGGTACATATTTTTGATCAACTTCAAAGAATAAAATAATTTAACTCAGGTATTTCTGGTTTGTGTGACCTAAATGGTTGTAATGATATACGAGTTAAGCTTCTAACAAAAAAAAACGGTGCACAATTTGAAATTTTCAACAAAGAGTTATGCTCCAATTAGTGAAAGGTGATCTGCTTGACTGACGGTTTTGCTATAGTTGTCCAACTCGAGTTTGTGTCTTTTGTTACAAATTTTATCTCATACCCATCTCCAATATGGATAATATCACTTGCAAAAAGATTCATGCCTAGCATCATTTACTAACTAAATGATAAATTACCATCCGTCTCCTAGAATAGTCTATAACAATATGATATATAACTAGCATATCCATCCAAAATTTTTTCTTCAATTCCTCTAAACTAGCTAATCCATAAATTCGAACGAATAATCAATACGTAACCTAAACTAAACAACAAATCACACTTATCTTACAAACATATAACTTCAAACAAATTTAAGCCTAGAAGTTCTTCAACCTAACATAATAATCTAGTGATAGTACACAACCTACAACTCTTATGTAAGACCCTAATTCTTAAGCTCTGACACCAAACTTGTAATGCCCCAAAATTCACTCTAGAAGACATTACTATCTATATCATTCATATCATGAGAGCAACTAATGAAATTCATAAATTAAAGAAATTTCATTTGTCATCCATAACAACTAAAGTATCATCCAAAATAAGTATGTCAAACCATGGAAATTACATCCAAAAGCTAAATATTATCTTTAACATTGTCTCATAATTAACCTCCCAATCTAGAACCTAAAAAATAACTCTAAATATCCACCTCAGGATCCACATTCCTATCAATTTGAGCTTCCCAATGTACCAGCTAATCAAATCCGAGCTCTTCCTCTAAACTATAATCTGAAAAAGATGTTGTTTGTAAGGGTGAACACTCAGGTATGCAGTAAGACTGAGCATGAATACACACATTGAGAATATTTTGGTCCACACACACACACCCAATCCTCGTAAGGATACACAACTTTAGGAAGCGCGTATACTGACGCATCTACAGTAACGAATCCAACCAAGAAATAATATACTAACCCTCAACCTTGATATCCATAAACAATAGTGGTTTGGTCCTTGTAAGTTACCAATCCCACTACGAGTGGTAGGAAACATTCAAACTCACTCGGAGTAAGAAATACATCTACCCACTCTACGATACCCGATCAACGGTCACTTATGTTCATCAAAACATCCACACAAGAGATATAATGTCAAACCAATTCACCAAATCACAGGTAAACGAAGAAGTATGGGTGTGTTTGGTTTTGTTCGCAAAATTTCAAAAACATCAAAAATCTATTTGCTTAGCATTTTGTTCTTAAATTTTTTGAAAAAAGTGAGAATTGAGACAAAAAAAAAACAGAAAATAAGACTCTTTATGCTGAAAATCTTGAAAATACGGAGAACAAGGGACTTTAATAAGGTCTCTCCTTCAAATCCCCTTAGCAGCAAATTCTATAGGCATCCTTTTTTTTTGGTCTTCCTCTCTGCCTAACTCTCCCTCTCTCCACTTGGCCTCTCAGACAAAACAAACATAAAGAGAGAGCAACGTTTTACCTCCTACCCCAAAGATGAACAAACTATGAACATATGCGATTACTAGGTTGCTTGATTGTGCAAATAAGTTGTAAATGAATGTATACAGGAGATCCCATGGTGAATATATATATATATAGATACAGATGTGTATGGAAACAACCTTCCCCTAATGGTATGAAAAATGAAGCATCATGTGGAGTTTGTACTTGAGACACACACCGAGGTGAGTGCACTTTGAGCACTGTCTCGACTTTCGACTTTGTCTCTCCAGATCTGAGTGAACATTCTCTCTCTTGGATGTTTTTTCTAGTTCCATTACAATTGATCTTCTTTCAGTTGGCCACCATGACTTGGAACGACTTGCTTCGATTTACTGGCAACCCAAACTTGGAGACTACAACTTGGTCAATGAAGTTATGAGTGCTTCCACCATCGACAAGAACCGTTATGCTCTTGTTCCTCAAATTCCACAGTACACATAAGATTTGTGGGTGTTCGACACCGACAATGGCATGAAATGAAATTTTTGGTATGTCCTCAAGACTTACCATTTCATGTGAATCATCTTTATCTTCCTCAAGACTCAGGTAAGATTCTTTGATCAGAAAAAGCTGCGGTTGTTCGTAGCGGTGGCCGGGAACAAATTTATCATCGCAATAGTAACACAACCCTTTTTCGGTCGCTCTCGACCCTCTTGATTGGTGATTCTACGAAATGACGTTAGAGGAGGATTTGTTCGCTGAAACGGTGGTGGTTCAAGGATGCTAGCCTCTTGATTGGTCAGTGCTCTGGGTGTCATCATGGTCAGTGATGAACGAGCTAGAGGGCTAGGTCTCTTCTGCAACAGGTTGCGTTCCTCGATCAGTTGTGTGACCTCGATCGCATTTGCCAATGTGTGGGGCTACTTGATCTTTACGTCGATGCGGATTTCGTCTTGAAGACCTGCAAGAAAACACCCTATGAGAAACCTTTCAGGCAGATTGTTGACTTGGTATGAGAGCCTTTCAAAGGCTTCCTGGTAAGCTGCCATGGTGGTTGTTTGTTTGAGACATGAGAGTGACTCCGATGGATCCTCATACTCGGTGGGTCCAAAACGAAGCAACACGGCCTTGACGAACTCGCTCCATGTGAGAGGTCCACAAAATTTGTTTAACCATTTGTGCCATTGGAGGGCAATCCTCACTAGGAGGAAGGAGGCTAATTGGACTTGTTGAGCAAGTGCAATGACTTTGAAATCAAAATACTGCTATGCCTTATACACCCAGCCAGTGGGGTTGTTTCCTTCGAATCTGAGAAAGGAGAGTTTAAGATGATGTTGAGGCTGACCGTTGGAGGTAAGAGAACAATAAGTGTGGGAATGTAATGATCCTTCAGGTGCGAACAGGTTGATATCAGAAGAGTTTGGGTTTTGGTTACGGGAGGTGCAAAGGGATTGAAGCTCAGTTAACACTGCTTGTAAAACTAAGTTCATCTGATCAAAACCTATCTCATGTTGGGCTAAGGCTTCATTGACCTCGTTACGAAATTCTGAATTCGTTTTACTGCGAATGCTCATGATCGAAACTGCGCTCTGATGCCACCGATACGTAAAATTAGGGGTAGAAGGAGAATAATAGTGGAGAGGGAAAAAGGAATAGTTCTGGGTATTATATCCCCCTTTTATTGAACACAACCAAACTTTAAATACACGAAGGAATAACAATATTGCTAAAAATTTGGAGAGAAACTAGCAACTCCTAAATATCTTGATAACAACCTAATCAGAACAACTTGATCTTGACTTATTCCATATCAACTAAACAACCTGATAACAATATCAACTAAACAACCTGATAACAAGATGACCACATATCACAAATCTTACCTGAAATGATGTGGGAAGCACATGTGACCGACAACCCTATTATAAGTAAACTTTCCTCTGGTACAACCCATATCTCGATATTTGTGCAAGAGGAAACCAAAAGTGGTCTTCTTTCATTGTAATATAGTTTGACGAGTTGGTGTGAACGTGGAATACAAAATCTTATGAGATGTTATTTGGTTACCAGTTTTTAAAATTAAATTTTTTTTAAAAAATGAGAATTGAGAATAAAAAATAGAGAACATCTAAATAAAGTTCCCTGAATTTTTAAGCCAAAATGGAAAATAAGGAAAACAACTCCTAATCTCTTTAATGAGGTCTCCCCTTTGAATCCCTTTAGCAGCAAAACTAGTCATAATATACAAGTTTTTTTTTCTTCCTCTCTCTCCACTTTGCCTTTCAGATGAAACCAGCACACACACAACCAGAGTCTTCTCTGGTGATTAAAGGTCTGGGTTCAAGATCTATCTTTGTCTTCTTTGACGAAGGGTTTAAGATATATCTTCTCCGATGATCTGTCTTCTCCTTCAAGGAAGGTTGCTGAGGCATTTCCCCTAAAGTCCTCATAAGCATCAATAAAAGTGTCTGCAACGGCCCTCTTAGTAGCCATCCTCCTTCTCTCCATCTTAATGGAGTGAGCCTTTGCCCTGGTGGCTCTCTCATGAGCTGCTTGCAGGTTAATCTTTGCCATGATAGCCTTTTCCTGAGCTATACGTAGCTCGGCCTCAGCTCTAGCAGCTCTATTACTGGACACTCGCAGCTCTGTCTCTACTCTCACGTTGGCAGCTTCCAGCTGGGCGGCCCTCTCATGGGACACCAAAATCTCGGTCTCAAGAGGTGCAACTCTCTTGTAAACTAGTCTTAACTGCTCCTTAGCAACCTCTTGTGCTTAACTTTCTAGCCTCAACTGTTCCTCGGCAGCCTCCTAAGCATGCCTCTTTGTTGCCAGATCCCTTGATGCCTTTTTTAGCTTGATTGACTTCAAAAAGAGGCATGAAAAAGTAGTAGCCACTTGTAGGTATCCAATAGCCATAACATGAAAAAAAAGTGCGAAAATCAAAATTAAAAAGGAGAAAGGTGTACCATAGCAAAGCCCTCCATCGTAGTATCAATAATGTCCTCTAGACCCCGAGAGACGACCTCTCTAATATCTGCAATCGTCACAAACCTCCAAAGCCACTCCTTGGCCAGATTCAAATCCCACAGCATGGACACTGAGCCACTGCTAGAAGCCGGACGACTACATAGAGCTCCAGACCTGGTAGACGACCGCACAAAAATCTTAATACTCGAAGTAGTGGCCAGACTAATCGCAACGCTCCAATGAGTTGTGTGTTGAAAGAGAGTAGGGGCACCCACTAATCTAGCCTCCTGGGATATAGCATGGCCATCGGACCGTCGTGAGATATTGGGGGCATCAACCTTTGCCCGCTTAGGAAGAGGGGAATATACCACCCTAGAAGCATAAAAAGCCTCTACCATCACTCTATCAACAGTGGGACTTATGGAACTAGTATAAGACGAAGAATCTATAGTATTACAATCATCAAAATTTATTAGAATGATCAATTACCCTTCCTCTTTTGCTCAAGGAAGGCTCTGGGATGACTTGCCGCGGACATGAGGATCCTAAACTCCTTGATAGGATGATCTTGTATGGCCTACATCCTATTCTCCTACTCCATAGATAATGTGGGTGAAGTTGTATAAGGAACCAAACATGTAGTGAATACAAGGGGCACGATAGTCAACGTAAAAGCAAAGTTAAAACCCTTACCTAGCTTGGTCCTCAGAGCAGTGTATGACCTTAAAGGCACTAAGTCACGATCTTCCTCAACAGTCCACTCACCTCCAACAAAGAATAACCTAGATTTTGAACTATGGAAATTCAAAAGCACTCTATTAATAAACTTGCCCGACCACAAGACAAAGCGGTACTATCCTTAATGAGGAGTAGGATTATCCAGAAGAACATAAGAGGCCAATAACTCCTCGAAAGGGGGAGAAATGCCCTCACCATGAAGTAGCCGCCTTAGTGAGAAGAATAAAAAAGTTACCCTCTAACCGTTGGGAGTCAACCTCCGTGGAGCCAGTGGTAAGTGACCCAGAATCTGACAGATAGGCCTAGGTATAAGAAATCTCAATCCTGTCTCCAAGGCATCCTCGTGGAAGACAATCTCTTTTGAGGACTCATAACACATGGGCTCGTTCCTCTTGTCTCGACGACACATAATAGTAAGAGGGATATAGAACGAAGAAAAAATTTGACCCACCACCTTTAGAAACTCTTTTGCCTTGGTGCAAAGCCTGTGTAATATCTGTCATATTGCCTTTATCAGCTTGGGCACCTGACAAAATAGAAGCCAATAAAAAGTGAAAAGGAGCCAAGATTAACAAAAGGTTATGAACGAGATTAAGTTAACTAGTTGAAAAACATTGCCTTGTTTCCCACCACAGTCTGGTCCATTACCTCTAGCGCCAGCTACTCTACCGAATGGTGCCTTAATGCCTATCTCTATTGTCTCAGCGCTTGAATCCCTTGCTCCTTCACCCAACATGTCGCGAGGACCAACGCCCAACCCTCCATGAGGACCAGTACCCAGCGCGTCACTGGCTCCATCCATGCCACTGGAGCTGCCTAACCGACCACTAGCGTTGCCCAACGCGTAGCTAGTGTCGCCTGTGCTCCTCCCCACTTCAGCATTATCGTTCGTACCCAAGGTGTCGCCCAGCTCCCTTCCTGCCTCTACCTGGTGTCTTGCCTATGCCCACGCAACTATCTATATTGCCCAGGCCTGGGCGTCACCCACCTGCACCTTCATCGTTACCACTTACCTCGGCGTCACCACTCGCACCTTCAGCATCGTCTCTACTACCACTGGCATTGCCAACCGCGGCTTCGCCGCCTATGCCCAACACTCTCATACCCCTTGCTGAGATAAAGGCGCCCCCAAGCACTGTCATCATCAAGAGGTCACCTGGGCCCTTGCCTCTCTTCTCAATTGCTCTAGTTTTTGGCGTTGAGCCATCCAGTGAACCCTCCTTCGTCATCTTCCTACTCGCCTCCATCTCTTCTTTCCTCAATCTCCCTATATGATTTGTAAAGTGAAACCATAGCTCCAAAGAAAGTATTTTGGGGGTAAAAAGAAGGAATTATTTAAAGCCCTAAAAATAGTGCCAAAGGAGGAGAAAATGGGTTTTTAAATATGAAAGGAGATGAAGTCTCCTCTAGAGTGGTGGTGACACAGTGGGTGTCTAGCGATTAAATGGAAAAAATAAAAAAATGAGCTCTCGAGATGCAGATGGAGCAAGAAACTAAGGAGGTGCCACCGTGCAGAACAAGAAACCTTTTGCCTATCTAGTCGAAGGGGCCCATTCATGGGGAAAGCCCAAATCAGTTAACTCATGGCCCCAATCCAGAGTTCACGAGACCCAGGAATATCAACGCATGTGAGGAGTAATCATCAAGATAGCTACTCTCAAAGATCACATCTATCCTTAATTGTACCCATCCTTAATTGTAGTTATCATCTCTGAAAGACTAGTAACCTACCCTTCATGCTACCGCCTTAATTAAGGCTCTATGCCTATAAATTGTAAGCTCTCTATACATGAGGGACACATCACATCTCTCACACAGCTACCTCTCTCATATAGCTACCTCACCTAGAGCTTGCTCGTGCTCTCTCTCCCTTATTCTACTTTATTAATAAATTTCTTTGGTCACCGTCGTTGTTTTTAGTGGTTAGGTCACCCCGACCCAACTACTCAATCTTTGTCTTTTACTGTTTTCTACTTCATTAATTACCTTGCATCATATACTCAACTGTAAATTGTGCATAAATCCACTTTTGTGCTTTATTAGTTTGTTTAGATCATATGTCATTTATGGATGATTTCGACGTTCAAAATTTCAAAGAAAAAAAAAAGGAAAATCTTCCAGACTAGGAAATTGCCTATCAATAAAACCAAATCCCCATATAAAAAGTAACTGCCAAAATACAAATACCATAAAAATAGGGAAAGTGTATTATAATAAAGAGAAAAATAAAAAAACTCTCATTGTGTATCTCTCTACAATATATTTCAACCTAGTAGTACTTATCTACAACAGATTTTTTTTCAAGGTCTTTTCTCACAAAAAAGTCCTCCACAAGGTACCTACTAAAAAAGTTTTGTAAAAAATTTTATTAGACTTAATTTTTTGGGGGTTTTTTAAGGGTTTAAAATTATTTTGACTTATATTTTTTGTGGGCTAGAAATATATCTAAAATTATGGGATTTTCTAAAAATTTGGGACTTAAAGCCCAAACTTTATTCTTTAGGGTAAAATGGAAGCCAATACAAAAATTTGGATTTAATTAATCTAAACTACAACAAGAAAAGTTATTTGGACAAAAGTGCATTTTTGACAAAAGTGCATTTTTTCAAAAAATGACCAAAAAGTCATTCATTAAAAGGAAAGAAGATCAAACACCAATTGAATGCCAAACGACAATCTTGGCACCAAAAAGGAATCAAGCGGCCTAAAAGGAAGCATTAAATCGAGTGTCCCTTCGTCTTCGTCACTTTTGAGATTCAAATGAATTTATGAATAGATTCTAAAGATAATACTGGGAAATAATTGTTGAAGATGAAAAAGAGATTTTTTTTAAAGAAAGGAGGAAGAACAAGAGATCATATTTTTTTTGTAATTGGTCGGTATTTTGTTTTGGTGTAATTGTTCTCCATCGCCAAAATCTTCTTCTCCAATCATTGAAGTTCACCTTCAACGTTTCAGCTCCGATTTTTAATGGCTAGTTTTCAATTTTTTTTTGAGAAGAACTCAAACTAACATTAAAAAACACTTACAATTCCAAATGACAATAGCAAAGTTTAATTCTTTTATGTTGAATGAATATATAAAAAATTTACATTTTAAAAAACAAAAATTTTAAACATATACACTAATTTTTCATTTGTTGTAACAGTGTGGAGTAATTCTATTTGAGATTCAAGGCATTTGATTTGTATATCTATTTTGATACGTATTTAACGGTATGAGTTTCTTTTTTTTTTAGTTCAGTTTTTTAGTTTAATAAAATCCAAACCCATGTGTTTGTGAAATGTAAAGTAATAAAATATGAAATCTTTTATGATGAATGCATGTATGTGAAATATAAAAATCTTAAAATTTGATTATTAAACAGTTATATAGATATAATTGTTTATTTGTAGATGATTAACTATTTGGTACAACTCTTTTGGTACATTTTTGTTGCAACTCTTTGAAAACTTTATTTTGTGTAATTGTTTGGTGTAACTCTTCGGTAACTGATTGATGTAATTTTTTGTGGTAATGTTGATATAAGTAGAGAGATAATAAGAATAGAGAGAGTAATAGTGAGAGAAAATAGGGGGAGAAAGAAATAAAAAATAAAATCAGATCTTTACATATTTGAAAAGAAACTAAATTATCAATTAGGGAGAGAGAGAGAGAGAGAATATGGGAGAGATAGGGAGAAACGGGGAGGGAGGGAGGGAGGGAGTAACGAAGAAAGAGAGACAGAGAGAGTGAAAAAACAATAATGCTATATTGATCAAATTTTAGAACTAAATTTAGAATTTAAACGACATGACAGCTGATATGAGCTTCTTTATTCGGTGTCATGTCATTTGTACCCCAACAAAAGACTTCAAATATTATGTTGTCATGTCATTTGGTCTCTAAATTTGGTCTCAAAATATTGTCAATATAACATTACTAGTGAAAAAATAATAATTATACATACTTTAAGGAAGGATAAATAAGTAAAATAAATAAAAGGTCATTTGAATTTTGCATCTAATCACAACATGTTTTATTAGAATTGAACTTAATAGGGTAAATAACTTATACATACACTTCCTCTCAAATAAGTTTAAAAAAATATACACACAGCTAAAAAAAACTCTATTTTTTATATTGTTGGGCCGGTCTTTTGAGTGTGGTAGGGTCTCCTATAGATAGCTATGTGGTATTGAGAGACAATGCTTCCTGACGAATATATGAAATAATATATCGACATATTCATTTTACTGAACCAAAAAAAAATAAAAAATTAGAAGACCTCAACTTTGGAAAAACTTTAAATGGGGGATTGGGATTGGGGGCGTGTAAATATTCTACAAATTTAATGGATTTTTGTTTGTTCGTTGCTGACTCTTTGTGGTACATACATTGTCCTGGAGTTACTGTCCACAAAACTTGACAAATTTGCTTGATCAACGCATGGTTTATAATTGTACATGTATACATGGGCTCAATTATTTTCCACATAATATTTTATTTATTAATGCTTCGTTTGATTCAAGGATCTACCGAAGAAAGAAAAAGAAAACCAAAAAAAAAACCAAAAATTTAGAGAAAGAGGAATTCATTTTATTTTCTTTCTCGGTTTGATAAAATTGTTGATAATTTTTTAAACTTGATCATGAATCATAAAAATGGCACATTAAATAAACAAACTTTTTTCTTCTCTCGTACAATATTAGTTTCTATACGACAGTCAACGAGAAAGAATTATTTTTTCTTTACTTTTCTCCAACTAAATCCATAAATAAGACAGGATTTAAAAGTTGTTTGTTTATTTATTTACTTTTTACTGCGGGACCGGGGCTAGCGTGGCCGGCGAAGCTCTAAGGCCCCACCAGCACGTAGCTTTGTTGCCTTTTCCTTTCTCAAATTCAATTAAAGTTATGGTCTGGTTAATTGGAATGAAGTATATATATATTGCATAAGTTAGAATAGTATGAAAAAATTGCAAACCTCGTGTAAAAAGTTTAGGGTATTCATTTTTATAATTTTGTTTTTATGATTTTGTTTAAAATGTTTTTATGCTATTCATTTTGTATTAATTGTATAGGAAATTATAGAAAACAAAAATGTACCACAAACGTTAATATCCAATACCCAAAAACACAAGGTCGAAAACTTTTATTTAATGAACTTTAATTCTATTTGAACAATCTAGAGTCCAATACATTCATCTTTATTCAAATAACTTAGTACTGTATGAAATATCAAATACATCCAAAAGAAATCAAAATATAAAAATATGATCACATCACAAACATGAGCTTCATTGAAACCTTGATACCAATTTTGTAATCTACTGTCAAATTTGTGACACACATAAACGACAATACACAAACTTATATTAAGTTTAAAACTCTAGGGATTGCAATCTTACATTGGTCAAACGCATACTAAAATAATACCACAGTTCCATGACACCTCTACAATGTTAAAATTATATATAAAAAAGTGTCCATAAATATGAAATCATATATTTATAAGAAAGAAAATCAAGGTAAATTTTTTCACATTAGCTCACCTAAAATAAATTTTTGAATACTAGGACATAGTATAGGCTGTCTATTTTGCCATACCCAATTCTTCCAGTACAGTACCTGTAGCACAGACAAGAGCAGAATAAAAACCATGCATTGCAAAAATTAGCAAGAATTACAGCTAAATTCAAAATGTTATTACGCCTACTAAGCACTAGTTAGTTATAGTTGAGAAAAAATGAAACCAAAGAGATATTTATAAGAGGAAATGTCATGTTGAAGGCCGTACTAATGTAACTGCCAGTTAAGATAAATACAATCACCCCCATCACTCTTACCCACAAAACTGTCATCACTAGGACCATTAAGTGATACCTAAGCTTGATTTTTAGTCGGTATATTTGAACTCTATAACCATCAAGAATAAAATCTAACTGAAAAAGAAAAATAAAGGTACAAAATCAGAAGCATGGCTTGAGTTATATATACCACGTAAGAGAAGTTTCTGATTTGTAAGTCCTCTATATGGGCTCAACCCATCTTTCTATGTATTTAATCTGAATATTCATACATTGAAACAAAAAATTTAGCATGATCTACAACACCAAAACAAATGATTACCTATGCATTTTCTTCAATATAGAAACACACAGGCAAATCAGAAAAATTACCTTGCCAATAACAACTGCCACAGTGTTGTCATCAACCAAACCCAATTCCCAAATATATGAGTTTCATATGGGCACAATCCAATCTGC